ATACTTGTTTATTATAACTTTACTTTAAAACTAACCCTAACCCTAACCCCTATCCCTAAAAAATGCACCCCAAAAAAAATTATTTTTTGAGATTTTATATTATAATTTCATTTTGATCTGGATTTCATTATGATCCGCCACAATAATTACTATATTTTTATTATTAAATATTGTCTAAAATTGAACTTTTTTGGATGTTTCCTCATCAAAGAAGAATAATTGGTTTCCAGGAATTTTGTAATTAGTTAATTTTTTATATTCTGAAAATTAAATATATATTAATTTTATAATATAAATTTCTAGAAATTACAAGACTTCAGTTAAGGAGCTTAAAAAATATGTAGAAAGTGTTGAAGATAAAAAAAAGCTTGCTTCCTCAAATTTTGGAGATTACTAAGACAGAAGATTCCGAAGAGAAATTAAAAAATCAAATAAATGAGGTCTTTAAAGGCGAAACATTTAAAATCAAATAAATGAAGTCTTTGAAAATGAAAAATTTAAAAGTCAAATAAATGAAGTATTGAAAAATCAAATGGACGAAAACGTTGACAAATAAAATAAATGAATTGAAAAATCAAATGGACGAAACGTTGACAAATAAAATAAATGAAATATTATAAGGTCCGCTTGATAAAATTATTAAGTTAATTGAGCTTATCGAAAAAAAAGAATCAGAATAATAAATTTTCAGATTAGCAATCGTATGTACAAAAATTTAAATAGTAGTTTTACAATAGAATAGCATGATAAGAAATTTATTTTAGCTATCATATAGGAGCTTTTTTTTTATTTATTTTTTTATATTACTTTGTTTTTTTTAAACAAATATATATTTATTTTTGCTAAAAGTTTGATAAATCATCCACATTAGCAATTGAAGCTTTTATACTATACCAGAAAACAGCACGATGAAATCATATCGTAATTGTTTTAGAAGTGTTAATTTGTGTAAAGTGAAAAATCTTGAGTCAAGTTGAACAATATCCGTGGCATGACCCTATTCGTTACATAAATCTACTTTTGCATCTAATATTATAAAATAAAAAGTTACGATAAAATCATTTCACCATCACTATTTTGATAGTGGACAAGTAAATTTAAATTTTGGTAGTTCAAACAATATTTATTCATCACTTTCTAAATTTTTTGATTTTTTAATTTTGCATGTCAGTTTTCTTTATCAGATGGTGATTTTTTTTAATCGCTTCGATTGTTTTGATTATCCAATATAAAAAAGCTTTTTATAGAGAAATTACATAATTTTGTGCACTAATTTATAGATAGTCAAAATATATTCTAAACTAGTCACAAAAGCAAATCTGATAAGGTGAAGGTTAAGAAATCAACTACATTCTATAATTTATTTAAAGATGATTCTCTAAATGCACTCACCATAAGTGCACGCTCTATGTGAATTCTTTCTGAATGCACAGTATAGCTTGGCCCAACTTCTAAGAGCATTACATATTTTGCTCTCTATAAATGCACTCTCTCTTTAAGTATACGATCTATTTTTTTTGACTATGGTCCCGAGGAGGATGAATTAGAGAGGTTTTACTGTATTTAAGTACTTTCATAGTTCTAAAATATTTTTGCATACTAAATAATTCAACATTCTAAAATATTTTAACATCCCAAAGCGGTTTAAAATGTATTTGATATACTTAAATAATTTTTGCTATAAAATATTTTTAGTGTTCTAAAATTTTACTATATCAATGTTGGTGATGGTAAAATATAAAAAATAGCTCCTTTATTGTGTCATGTAGTTTATTGCAATATTTTGGATTCATAAGTTATAATTTTCTAACTCATAAAGTCTTTGATAGGATACTTGAAACTTTATCACGTGTGAAATTTACATGAAATCCATGTTACTTAATCTTATGTGAAATTACATGTATTGTAAGTTTGTAAAATGTAATTTTCAATCCTAAGTGAAATTTTTCATTTTTGCAATTAATTAAAAAATTAAATGCCGACCAAAATTATGTAAATGCGGACCAGAATTTGTCGATCACAGCCGTTGGCCAATCAAATCGAAGATCAGCCGCGAATTTTTTGTGCGCACTCTACGTACGACTTTTGATGAGTAAATTTTTGTTTCTTTATTCTTTACTGTTTACTTTTATTAGCACTAATAACTTTTCACGATCTTGCAATATTGTCAGGACATTGGATTGGTTTTGTACACGTGATATTCCGAACCAAAATTGGCCGATGAAAAGTCAAGATCAGGTATAACGTAAAAAAAAATTCTAACCAAACAATTTTTTTGAGAATTTGACCTAATTAACTCCTTTCATGCTCTAATTAAAAACTTTCTTGCGTGATCTACTATAAGAACAACCTTTTTAACCCTAGAATGAACTTCAACCAAACTCAAACCTTAACGTAAACAAATTTTTGGGGAGTTTCGAGGTTATAACGTGTTCGAAAAATCGATCCTAAGCCCTGTCAATTTCTGATCTTGCGGCCCTACTAATCGCTTTGGCGCAGCCTATGTTAAATATTTTTACATTTTACTTGTCTTTTGCATTATTACAGTTTATTATATTTCTTTTACTATAATACAAGAGCATAGGATCGTTTTGCAGTACATGTGATATTCCGAATCAAAGTTAGCCAATAAAAATCATTAACGAACTCAGTAACCTCGGAGATGTGTGGGTTCGTTATTGCTATAATCCCCGATCACTATATCAAGATCATGGGAGGATTAATTAATAACCTGATCCGTATGTGAATAATTCCCAATGGATCAGAATATTGTTATTACTAATCTCGTGGTCTTAATCTCTTTGACACTATCTAAGATAAGCATTTATGTCATATTATCACAATTTTCTAATACTCATGTTTTTATTTTTCATATTTATTATTTCTATTACCTATTGTTTATCACATATAAATTTAGTACGTAACAAACTCGGTGTTCGTTTTGTTTTTACTATATTTGGTGCTGCTTAAGTATTCTTATTCTGCTAATTCTATTACCTGGTTGTTTACTGCATATAAATTCATTAACGAACTCAGTAACTTCAAAGAAGCGTGGGATCATTTTTTAATTATTTTGACGTCACTTAAAATAAGTATTCTTATTTTACTTGTTATATGATTGCAGTTCTCTAATACAGTCAGGTATTTTACGCGATATAGAAATGATCTGCAATATACTAAAAGGTTATTCTAAAACCGATTCTATTTAAAAAAAAAGCGTTTTTTATTATCTTATGAATATGTAGTCTAGGAATCCCTGAGGCTTTAAAAGGCGAAATAACAACACAGCCAATGATTGGTACAAATTTCGTACCATAGAATTAAGAATTTTCCAATTAAAGATCTTTTACCAAAAGGGAAATGATCTGCGTCACACGAATTTGAAAAGTAATGGTTTTATATTAGATTTCTCCTACTATTTCTAGTAATTGGTTGTTCATTGTACATAAATTCAGTAACTTCGGAGAAGTGGGAGTTCGTTATCACTATAATCTTAACCTTAATTTCTTTGATGCTATCTAAAATAAGTATTCTTATATTTCACTTGTCATTATAGGTGGGGTAAAATTATTCTTTATAAAAAGTTTTGTTGAAATTGTTGAAGTTATTTGATTGTGAAATTGTTGGTTTTTAAGTTTTCCGCTTGTCGTAATCTTTGATGTAACGTGACGAAAAATCAAGTTTAGAGATGGGTTTCATGCGTGCGCATGATTCTCAATCATGAGTATTAATGCGCATTTTATCCATCTAAATTGTATAGATCATATGCCAGGTGGAATTAAGAAATAGGAACGCAAATGGTCCGAAAAATTCCGAAAAGAAAATAAATGAACATAAAGGGAAAATATAAATCAAAAAATTATATTATGCGATATCAACATTTACATAACATGAGTATGTTAATATAAAATGCGTATTTTTCCCATACCTAATCAAGTTACACATTAAATTTTAATATTCCTTAAATTATCACTTCAATAAGATTAGGAATATTTATTTACACAAGAATCTTAATTTCTTTAAAAAAAAATCTCATGACCTTTTTTTTTGAATTAAAAAAAAAAAGACGAATACAATTCAAGCATATAAGACTTTAATTTTTTACTATTCCGAATTATTCCAAGAAAAAATCAATCAAAAATGGGTGATAAACAAACTAATGACCCACCCAAGGATCCCGAAAAACTAGAAATGTTTTGGAATGAAAGGAAATATAATCTCATTAAACTAAAGAAAAGTATTGATAAATGGAAGAAACTTAGAGCTTATTCTTTCCAACGTTTAGTCTTAGCTTTTGCCATATGTGTATTTTCACTTGGACTTGGATGTTATCTTTATATTGCGGATAAAGATGAAATAGAATCTACATTAAAGATCGTATCAACTTCTATTTTTGGAGCAGGAAGTGGTGGAATTCTTTTTAAAAGCCTAACTTCGCTTAAAAATCTTTTCAAAAATAAGCAAGTTAAAGAAAAAGATAACAATAAAGATACCGAATATAAAATTGATGATACAATTGTTACCAATTCGAAAAATAATTGTCCCAGTAGATTAAATTACTTAGAGCGTTCACCTATAAAGTTCGTGAAAAAACTTATTGAGAATATACATATTATGATGATTTGGCGTACTATATGGGTTTCCTTAATGTCATGTTCATTTATTATTTTATCTATAATTACTATCTTTCTCATTATTTATAATACAAAGGCATCTATATTTCATAATTTGACCATTATTCTCATCAGTTTTTCTTGTTTTTGTCTATTGGAAGTTATTGCTGTTGCACTTTGTATTACTTATTATATTCCCGAGTTGGATATGTTAGATAAGTCGAATAGATCGGCTACGTCTTCAGATATGTATTTTGATGATTTTGATGAAACGGTTAAGAAAAAGTTAGATGAATTAACGAAGGAGTATAGTACTTCATCAAGCAGTACATCAACGAAGAATAAAGATATAGTCAATTTGGTTAAAGATTTGATAGGGTTTTCGTTGTTAGAACTTACTAAAGTTTATATCATTATTGAAGAAGAACCAGATATTATTTATTCCATTTTAAAGATTATGACACTAATGGCGTATTTTGTGAATAAATTTTACAAAATGTTGGATCGAAAACCGAAAATTCTGAAAAGTTATATAAAGTGCATGCATTTTTTATTGGAAAGTATAAATGCTTATACAAGCACTATAATTGATTTTAATGGAAATATTAATAATAGTTATCTAAAAAATGCTCAAGAAATAATTAATGAGTTGGAGGAAACCAATAATAATGATTTGGATGACATAACGAAAGAATTTAGTGATCTTCCTAAATTAAATGGAGAAATTAAGAAGAAATTTGGTGTTTTGTATGATTTAATGGATCGCATATTGGAGGAAGAATTTGGCTCTACGAAGAATATAACGAAAGAAATTGATAAATTAACAACGGATATTTATGACTCATTGAAGAAAAGTAATGAGGCCATTGAAAATAAGGATGTTAATCAAAGTAAAGAAAAAAATGAACCAGAGACTAATAAAGATGATAATGAGAGTGAGAATAAAGATGAATCTGAGATTAGTGAGTACGAAATTAGTGAATCCGAGAGTAGTGAATCCGAGAGTAGTGAAGGTGATAGATTCAATTATATTCGTTTGAATATAAATATTGATCTGGACAAATTAGAGGAAAAAATAGGAACAATTTTATTAGAAATTAAGAGTAGAAGGGATGAGATCAGTAAGATCAAGAAAGTTAATGATGATGAAATCGGATTAAATAGAATAAATGAAAGTATTGAAAGTTTAAGACTATTATTAATATCCACAAAGGATAGAGACGTCATGAAAAAGCATTTTATGCATAAAATCAACTTGTTTGAAAAAATTTCTTATGAGAAGAATTGCTTAAAAAAATTTTTTATGTATTTTCTGGCCATTATATTTTTTCCTAATCTTTTCTTAATTGGTTTGATATCATGGAATAATAAAGATTATGAAGTTATTAAGGCGAAACAAGATAATGCCAATCACGGTGATGTGTCGAATCTGGATGTCAATAATGATGATATGTCGAATCCGGATGTCAATAATGATGATATGTCGAAAGAAAATAATGTCAATAATGTTGAACGCAAAAAAGATAAACGGAAATATATAATTAAGCAAAAATATAGGTTACAATTAAATAGAATTGAAATGAATAAGAAAGAAAAAGAGATAATCAAGCGTCTTCTTTTTGGGTTATCAATGGATAGCAGCAATTTTGTTTAATTGCATTATCATGAAATTAGGAATATAATTTTTAGCTTAAAACTCAGTCACAACGATGTTTATGTAAATTCTGTTCTTTATTTTTTTAAAAAAAATAATAGGTATACATATTTTTTATAAATCTATTTTTATCAGTTGTAGTTTGTTTATTATTTATTAGGGTAGCTGCGCGACGTAGTCACGCTTAAACCAGGAACGTAGCACAATTGCTAGACTTGGCTTAAGAATCCGAGTATAGAGGTAAACTTTCAAATGATTGTAAAAATATTATCAATTGTTTTGTGTGCAATTTATTTCATCATTTAATCTAAATAAATTTGCGGTATATATACGAGTGAAAACATGGTGTAGAGTTTATTTAAACTGAAAATAAAATTTGCTTCAATAATATATATATATGAGAATTAAGTTTACTATATATCAAATACGTATTACTTATAAAAAATTCTTGAATAGTGATAGGCATTTTGGGGGTCCGTATCATTTCACCGACAATCATTTCACCGGCAGCTCATTTAGCGACATCACGCCAGGTGAAATTTAGTAAAAATATATACCTATATCTGCAACTAATCAAATGTTTAACCCTAACCCTATATGATGTCGGCTAGATAAGCATTCGGTAAAATGACTGTTGGTGAGTTGATCGGAACTGGCATTTTGGATAGAGGTGAACTTCTTATATAAAATATCAGATATATAATAGTGGTATCTTATGCGGTATGAGTGACTCCTTTAATAAAATATTGGTTTTGTATTATTTATGTGTGAAATGTGGATAGCAGATGTGATCTTTAATTTTCAATATGTAAAAAATCGCATTATACTAGATAATAAAGACAGTTGGTATAGTACAATGAAAACTCGTTATTCTGGGTATATATGATATATTCATACAGTGATGAGCTGACCAATTTGACCAAACTAGTTAGGCTAGAAAATCTTTGACCAATATCATAGTCGACCGTATATTAATATATCGATATCAATACAAATTCGGTTACATTTTATACCGGTGATAACTATCCAATTCAAATGTTGGATTTGCACATTTGCCATTCCACATATGGACGGATCTGCATCATTACTATTGAAAATGGTAAAATATTTTACGGAATAACTTTTTATCCACTGATCAGTTTTTGGTGATTTTACCACCAAATGTGCGTCTCGACGAGACGATTCTAACGAGCCCGAAATTGTTGAAATTGAGTCATGGGATCCCGAGATAATTAAAGGTATGTTAGCTTCGGGTAAAATAGGATTGGTTAAACCCATCCTATTTTACCCAAAGCAATCAACCTTTTAATTATCTCGGATCCCACAATTAGATTTTAACAATTTTGGACTCGTTAGAATTGTCTCGTCGAGACGCACATTTTGGTGGTAAAATTACCAAAAACTGAGTGAATAAAAAGTTATTCACCGTCAAATATTTTACCATTTTTAATAGTAATGACGCCCATATGAGTTGTTTTATAATCATACACGTTGAGGCATATGTTATACACACTGCATAAATTACATTCTTGACACCTATGTAATCTACTATCCTAGCTGCAACAAAAAAGCAACCATAAAACTTATTCTGCTTTAGCAGACCACTTTTTTGGTAGATGGTTTATTTATACATTTTGTAGATTTATGTACATATATACTAGTTTGGTTACGTAGAACTTTCGTTTGATTTCTTATTTCCTTTTTGAAACCTGGTAATAAGTACGTACGTACGTACGTAATGTTCACTTGGTATAATTTATGATTATACATGTATGATATATGGACATATGTATATTACATCAGAATATATATACATATATATGTGTAAAAAGAATATACGTGATATTAGGTAAATGTTTACTAGAATAATCCATCAGGCCACTTATCTAATCGTTTGGTCTTTTTTTTTTACAAAGTTCTAGCCTTTCAAATTCTTTATAAAGGGTATGTGGTAATTTTAAATCAAGCATAGAATCTTTGAAAGGTCTTAGAATCATTAAATCCTCAAGCTTTTGAATTTGCAAAAGTATTGCATATGTGCTGTTATAAGCATTACTGTTTTGTCAAATCGATAATTGGTTTATTTAACGTATGTCCTTAACACTTATAATCTGTGAATATATAGGCCAGTGTTAATGGTAATTGTAGACGTTAAAATTTTCTCTGAATCTTGGTACCATTATGATTAAATACAATATATATTTAAATGGATATATTGGCACATAATTTGGAGGTAAATCTTTATACGAGCCAGTTGTCTTATCGGTTAATCAATAATAACATACTTCATTGGGCTGGAGAGAGTTTTTCTTGTGATAATGTACCGATTGAATCTTCATTATAAACTATTTGTCGAACTATTCCTTAAGTTCCGTTGGTCAAGTTATCGTGAATACATACATTAATGGTTAAAACAACTTTCATACCAACAAATAAGGACAAAATTCCACAATGAATTCTGTTATGTATATAGCATAGTATAAATACAATAGTTTTTTTTAAATATTTTTTTTTTGTTGCATATCAAAATTGAATTTTTGTAGATTTTGAATTAACTTGTGTTAGAGTCAAATAATATAATATAAGCAATATTCTTGCTTGTAATAATTAGTATAGTTAATGTAGAATATATGACTATAATATATGGGTGCTTTTAGGCATCTCCCGCGGGAGACGTATCTCTCGTATCCGTTAGCCAATAGCGAGCCACAATTTAATGTAACGTAACACAATTAGAAGTTTCAAAACAGCAATAAGTGAATCTGTGCCCGGTTATGAGAATCAGGTGTAACGTAGCACAATCAAAACAAACGTTCGTTTTGCCAAAAATCGCTTCTTTCTCAAAAATCTGTATAGTAAACCACCTTTAGTGCACTAACAAAAAGTTTTCCTTGTGCGATTTTACTATATAACCACTTAGCTTTTAACTTTATACGAAACGCTAACCTTAACATTAATGAACTTTAAAGAATTTTACATGATGATCGGCAACATGCATAACCGGGCACAGATTCACTTATTGCAATTTGCATAGTATTAAAAAAAATTTTTATTAAAGTAAAATTAAAATACTACGTATTATACTTACAGTATATTATATACATAACAGAATTCAAAATCATATTACAAAAATTATCACCCTCAGAAAATTTCAATTATAATTTAACCACTTTTTTTTCAAATTTACACTATACTTATATAACAAAAATATACTTTTGTTATTAAAATTACTACTATATTTTTTATAGATTAAATATTATTTGGATATCTTATAATCACCTAGTTGTAAGTTTTAAAACTATATTAGCCGTAGAAATAAAAAAGCACCCAAAAAAATCTCATGAACCTTAAGTTAATAGTGAATATGTGGTATTAGTAAAAGTCCAACTACTAGTAACACGAAAGACCAATACATTCTAAACACTATTTGACTGTGGGTAACATACTTGACCACTTGTCATATGAGCAATTATGTTTTCATATAGGAAGTACTCTAAAACTAATATAAATCTTTGTGTAATGATCTATGTTTAATTGTATTACATTAATTAATCAATCATTTCATTATGCTACTTATCGCCAAGATGGATTTGAAAAATTTTGACCAACTAAAACACTAGTGGAAAGAAGCACATAAGAATCACTATAATAAGCTTATTAAAATCATCATGTCACACCTCTGGCAAATTGCCTTACCCCATTTTCCTCTGCATTCATTCATTTATCTATTACATTAAATTTATCCTGTAACCAGGTATACCATTAAGCCTTCTACTACGACCTTAAAAGCCTCAGAATATTCTATTCTTCCAAGTCTTAGCTACTATATATATTGTTATTATTACCCAGTCATGTGGTAGTAGTTATCTCCATATGATAATTCAGTGTTGTGAAATCTAGTGGTCGGCTATAAATTTGCTGTTCAAATTGGTCTGGTCAAATTAGTCAAATTGGTCAAGCTAGTCAAATTGGTTAAGATTATTGATAAATATAATATATTAAATCTACCATTTGACCAATACAATCCTTGAACTGGACTGGTCAAATTGGTTCAATTGATTAGGTCAAACTAGCATTGAGTGATAACCAATATAATGTAACACAATCAGAAAAATTATTTCCCAATCTTTATAAAAACTATCTCTTATGCTTTAATAAAAGTTTTTTTTTCAAACAATTTACTATGAAAATTTACTATATATCCTACTGACATCTAACCTAAAATAAATGCTAACCTTAATATAAACGAACTTAAAGGTTTTGTTATCGATCATGTGGGATGAATTTTTTGATGGGGTAATGGTTTTTTAACATAATATTAGCTGCCCGATACGAAAGTATCAGAGCAGCATTTTGTCTCAAATCGATCATGGGTGTATCATAATTGATCGTTGCTGCATTATCATGAATTATCGTATGACTTTAGTTATTGTTGCTTCATAGTGATTTATTGTCTGATTTCGTTTGAGATATTATTTTGATCTATTAATTGATTCGTATGGAATTTTATGACGTATTGATGTAGTAATTAAGATTAGTAAGCATGATAGTATTTAGTAGAAATGGGGTTTTTCTCAGAAAAAGTATCTTCTGTTTTTTTCTGCTAATCCGACTTTGTCTGGTTTTTTCATGCTATACCTATTTTATCTGTTTTATCTGTTTTACCTTGAAAATAAACATTCTTTTTCTATACGAAAGTTAGGCAAATTAGTTTTTAGTAGTTTCTTAAAAATAAACATGATTTTTTTTTACAACAAAGTAAATTCTTTAAAGTTATTATGATCCTTATGTTAATGACAAATAAGGAAGTAGAACCTGTGAGTTGAACGATGTTTTGGCTCAATTTAACACGACTTAAGCGAGCTTGAAGTCAAATTTGGAACGTTTATCGCTAGAGGTGTTGAGAGTTGTTTGTAAAGGAATGGGTGTGTCAGATTTTGAACCAAAGAAGGAAGTCATGGCTAGGTTGGCAAGAGAAAGTAGGGCACAGTTGGGTCAGGAGGTATCTGGTGGTGATTCTGAGCTGTTCTAAAGGAGAAAAGTGTTCATCTGCAGCCTATTCCAAATCAGATTGAAGGTTTTCTGAAGGAACTTGAGGTCTTTTAAGAGCTGGTGATAGGCCGCAACAGTTAAGAGCAGCAGTCAAAAATTCTTATAACACTTTTGGAAGGCAGTCTGTTTTGGGCCTGGATTTGGCTCAAACTGTTTTTAAAAGGGCTTCAAGTTGGAATACTGATATGGAGGTCCTGGTGTTGGACAATGTGGAATAGAAAAATATGTGGGAGAAACGAGAGATGTCAAAGCAGTACAACTAATAGTAGTATGATGAGTTGTGTAAAATAGAGACTTTGCTAGACAAGGCCTTGGTCTCTGTGGACATAGCCTTTGTTCATTTGGCGAGACAGATCATTTTGGAAAGAGCTTATGTTGTGAGAGTAGTAGATGAAGATGGTGGGCTGTTGCATCTAAGATGGTTTTGGCAGATGTGTGGATCTAATATCAGAACTGTTGAGAGGAAAACGTGAAAGGGCTAAATTAGCAGCACAGTATTTTACGAAGCCCAAAAAGATGAGATCATTGTATCAGCCTCAGTTGGAGTAGTTCCAGATACAGGCTCTGTTTTCTATATGAGCAGTATTCTCATGATGCAATTTGTACCATGTAGCCTTACGTGCAGCAAACAGGTTTCGGTCAACAAGTTTTGAACCAACCGATAGTCCCACAAGATCAGTTTGGAGGCCTCATGACTTTTCTGTATCAGTCAGGTCAAACAAGTCTCCAGTTTCTGCAAGGCAGAGGACAACAGCTACAACACTTTGGTCCAAATGTTGGTGGGTCGTCTCCAATGTGACAATAATCGTACACTTCTTCACCAGTCTGGTCCAAAAAAGATGATAAAAATAAGGAACCTAAGAGAAAGGATATTGTTTGTTACCTGTGTGAAGGAAAGAATCATTTCACTAATGAGTATAGTTCTAGAAAATATTTGGGGTTGCCCTTTTGGAGTGACAGGACTCAGTCGGAAAATAGTTAACTATACCCAGGGATCACTGAGAAAAGCAAAGGTAGATTCAGAAGAATGGGAAGCTGGAAGGATTCACAGTCGTGTGGCAGTAAATTATTAGGAGAATATGATTTGACCTTTGCAGGTGGTTAAAGGAAGGGGTTTATCTGTTCCCAAGGAACTTAATATGCTTGGTAGCCAATCCAGATCCAAGGCCCTATTGTTTTACAAGGGAAGAGGAGGGTTGGTTAGAAAGGGAGTTGAAGAGGTTAGTAGCGTTGGGGGCAATACTAAAAATTGGCAAAAGAAAGTCTTGACCAGCAAGTCTCCTGGAAGTAAGCCCGGTGTTTTTGATTCCAAAACAGGCTATTGAAGGTTTTAGCTGATGATCAATTTACAAAGGTTGAATCGGGTTCTGCCTCAGAAGTTTTTTCATTTAAGAGGCTGGGTGGTCTTTTGCATATGATCAGAAAGGGTTGGTGGGCAATATCATTCGATTTAAAGGATGGTTACCATCACGTGCTTATGAACACTGAGGCACAAAAGTTGTTGGGCTTTGTCATAACGAAAACATAGTTTCAGTATAAGGTATTACCTTTCGGCCTAAGTCAGACCCCTGGGTGTTTTCGAAGTTAATGAGGGCTTTGATTGGCAAGTGGCATGCCCAGGGAATATATTATGACAACTACCTGGATGACGTGTGGGTGGCTTACCCGACAAAGAAGGCAATATTAGAGATAAGAGAAGAGGTAATAAAGAAGGATTTAGTAGAATGCGGCTGGGTTCAGACCCAAAAGAAAGGGTGTTGGGACCTGACTCAGGATATAAAATTCTGCAGAATGATAGTAGACACTTTAAATGATGCAGTAGTGGCATCAGAAAAAAAGGTGTGTTCAACGATAGCTATGTTGAAAGTAGTTTTGGGAGCACCTATCATAACGGCAACGTGTTTGGCATCGATAGCAGGAAAGATAGTGAGTTTGGGAAGAGCCTTCCTCTCTTGCCAAGTAAAATGTATGAAGTTTTACAAGCTGATAGATTCAAAAAATCAGCTTGTTTGGCAATGGGACAATGAAGTTCAGTTAACATCGCAGGCAATTGAAGACATTTATTGGTTGGTTGTGAATCTGAGAAAATGGAACAGCCGGCCAGCCTGGAAATCTTGTTGTATAAGGTCAGTGTATGTTGACGTCTCGACAATGGGTTGGTGCAGTATATATCTGGAGCACAAGGCATCAAGAAGTTGGTCGCAGCCTTACATCTCAAATGTAATAGCACAGTTAGAGGCTTTGGCTGTGCTTCGGACACTCCAGTCTTTCAAAGAGTTGTTGACTAGGACCTGGATAACATTGTTTATCGACAACAAGGTGGCTTTGAGAACTGTGGTGAGTGGAGGCACAACAGATTGGCAAAAGGACATTACCAAGCAGATATGAGAGGTTGCGTTGAGGCTGATATCGGTATTTTCAGTATGAAGTAGATCTCAAGTGGCTTAAATTCGGCAGATACGTTGACAAGAGTAGTGGATTAAAGCAATTGGATGTTGAGTTTAGAGGTAATGGCGCAGTTGGAACAAGCTTGGGGACAATTTGAGGTGGACAGGTTCACAAGCCACCTAAATGCAAAAACTAGGAGATTCAACAGCCTCTATTTCTGTTCAGGATCAGAGGCATGGATTGGTTTACCCAAGACTGGGCCGGGGCAAGAAATTATCTTTGTTTTCCCTTTTGTTTGATTCACAGAGCACTATATCATGCAAAAGAATGTGGAGTGTGATAGTGATCATAGTGCCAATTTGGATCTCAGCTCTGTGGTGGCCTTTTGTGATAAATTCTTCAAGAAAGGAGATCGATCTTCTGCTAACAAGCCAAATTATCCTGCCGGGCCCTTCAGGAAACTTGGAGCTATGCAAAAACAGCCAGTAGACTTTAAGGGTAATACTGTTGAATTAGTCGAACAGCTCTTGACTAGGGCGGAACATTTAATGAATAGTTCTATTAGTGAGGAGTACAGGAGGTGTTTAATAAAAGCTTAGAGTATATATAGTGGTTTTGCAGGTTGGGTTGGTTTGCTCTGTACCCAGTGGCAAGAGAACTGTTGGCGGCTTTTCTTGCTTGGTTGGAGCTATCAGGTAGGGTGACAGAGGACCCTGTTCAATCTACAAACAGCTAACAATTTGCAAAAATTACTAAAAATAGAAAGATCTGCAGAAAAAAAGCCTAAAATAAGCAAACTAATTACTAAAAATAGAAAGATCTGCAGAAAAAGTAGTCTGAAATAAGCAAATTAAAATCTTATCTGTCTATAGATTGTTCAGGGTCCTGGTAGCGGAGATACAAAACTGCCTAGCTGTGATAGCTAGGAAATACAAAGTAAGGGGCTTTGAGGACTCAACGAAGGGGAGTTCGATTTGGATAATTGTGGAGAGATCAAGAGAACAGCCGCCTAGGAAAAGATTGAAGTGAAATGGCCAAAGGACTCTCTTCCAGTGGCAGTGATTGAGAGGTATATTGACTGCCCTCCGCCCGGAGTCAGTATGATGTTGTGGGCATGGGATTTAGCTTTGGTTGCATTGAGTTTAAAGGTTATGCGTAGACTGGATGAGTTGTGCAACTTAAAAAGGTCAGATGTTACTGAGAAGGATGGAAAATTGTGGATTAGAGTTGCGAAATCAAAAACGGATCAATTAGGGAGAGGCAAGTTTATCACAGTAAAGAAGTCAACAAGTAGAGTATGCCTAGTGAAACTGTTAAATAGTTATCTGAGGTTGAGACCAAGTACATCACCAAAGAAGCTACTATTCCTGTCTAGGTGTGGGGAAAAGTTATCTGTGACAGCAGTGTTATCAATTGTAAGGTGGTTTGCAGATAATGCTGAGCTGCATAGAAGGTACACAGCACATAGCTTGAGGATTGGTGGTGCGACTGCAGCCTTGAAAGGAGAAATGATGATGGAGCAGATTCAGTCAATTGGCGGCTGGTCATCGGCAGCAGTACAGTTGTACATGAGGGCAGTGAATATTGCTGAGTTAGGGGCCTCTAAGCTAATAGGCTTTGTATAGACCCAAAAGGAAGTAGAAGGGAAATGTAGATCCAGAACCTTATCCTCCAGGTCGATACTCTGCAAGAACCATAGTTGGTTTTCATCATGTTTTCATTTTTAATTTGTCATTTGTTTGCATTTTGTAACACCCCTCAATGAGGGACAAAATTAGCTGTCCGATACGAAAGTATCAGTGCAGCATTTTGTCTCAAATCGATCACAGGTGTATCATAATTGATTATTACTGCATTATCATAAATTATCATATGACTTTAGTCATTGTTGCTTCATAGTGATTTATTGTCTGATTTCATTTGAGACATTATTTTGATTTATTAATTGATTCGTATGGGATTTTATGATATATTGATGTAGTAATTGAGATTAGTAAGCATGATAGTATTTAGTAGAAACGAGGTTTTTTCTAGGAAAAGTATCTTCTGTTTTTTTCTGCTAACCCAACTTTGTTTGGTTTTTTCACCCACCCCACCCAGCCCTCATACACAATGGTGCAGAGATTAAGGGTAGTATTTGAGGACTCATCAGGGCTACGAGTAGTGTTTAGCTGATTTGGTTTGTTATTAGGTTTGTGTTAAGGTGGCCAGTCAGGACGACAGTCACAAAATTTTGTTTTATATATTGAAGTGGCCTGTTGAAACAACAGGCGTGAAGAAATTTTTATGTTATGGAGAAGTGGCCTGTCGAGACGACAGTCATAAGAAGATTGGTTTGTACGGATTGTTCTTACATCGCAATGACCATAGAAAACTGTCAAATTTAGGACAGATTTTTGCGATACTTTTGAGTTCTGCATTGGTAATAGCACAGCACGTATAGCACGTGAGCGGAAGGAACAGATACCCATAGTTGCTTTTCATCGTGTTTTCATTTTTCATTTGTCATTTGTTTGCATTTTGTAACACCCCTCGATGAGAGACAAATAGTTTATCTTAATAGTTTGATCATGGATAGGTACTCGTAAGAAATTCTCCAAAATAAGTACATTATTCGGCAAAAAGTTTTGAAAAATGGTAATTTGGTTCAACCGGGCAAATGAACACGTGCCGCTCCGCGACACGTGCAGCCAATCATTTGCTCGGTTGACCCAAATTACCGTTATTCAAAAATTTGCCGAATAATGGTGTTATCCGACAATTTATAATCATGATTGGTAGGGAGTAAACGTGAATATTTCGTAACACGTGAAAAAAATAACAGACAGAAATATATTCATGATCATAAAAGTTTGTCGGATAACTAGTATTTATTAAATACTATTTTTCACGTGAGTAGAAAGTATAACCGGCTTGTTTGCAAGCCGAGTTTTACATGTATCAATACTGTAATTGTTAATTAGATCACATATATTTTATTATAGACCTTAATATATAAAAAACATTGATTTGAGTAAATAACTACGTATACTGTAAAATGTTTAAAGGCTTTGAATTTCATGATTTTTAAACAAGATATAGCAAAGCTAAATTTAAACAAACAATATAGACATGTAAAATGGCCTAACCTAAAAAAAGAACAAAATCTGGATCGATGCTTCAAATTTATAAAAGTTATATGAAATATTTTCGTACGAAATTAATAGCCTTTTAATTAGATTTTCCTTAAATAATGAAAAAAAAGTTAATAAGTTGAAAGATCGTTAAAGAAAGAGTATAATAAAAATAAGTTTCTAACTTAAAATAGCGCGTCTAACAGTTTCTGGAGAATTTTCTTGAGTACACCCTTATCACTAGGATTTGCAGCGTAAAGGTTAACTGTGAGACCCAAATTTTTTAGAACGTCTCTGTCATCCGCATCTTCATATTCCAAAGGATGTCTTGAGCAAGCATAATTCCAATTTTTCCAGTTGCTCCAATATCCACATTTGTAGCATCCCATGTCAGCATCAGTGTCAATATACATACGGCCGCCGCAATTGGCATGTTCCCAATAGCTTGGGTTGTATTCTTTTGTACAACCAGTTCTTCTTACGGGACAAGACATATAAAGATCAATTTTTTCGACCATTTTGACAAATTTTAGTTCGCCTATAAGAATGTTTCAGCATTTATATAAAAAAAGCCTTTTATCCACATTCAAAGAACTGATTACGTTAAATTAATATTTTTTAGTATTATTTTTATTTTTTTTGTGAGTTTCTGATTCTATTTTTAACTTACCTAATAAATCCAAGCAAAAGTTTCTTATTATTTTGTTAAAAACTGGTGTTAAAAAAATACCATATTTGCGTGAAATAACGCCCATAGGCGTTATTTTAAGAATACAACTTAAGGAAAGATAATGATTAATTTGTCCGAATGCGAATCAGAATCTTATTTTAAAAGATATTCAATGAAATTAATAATTGTTCTCTTTAAACTGCGTGTCTCAA